TGCACTTTCGTCATTTGCACTTTCCGCACTTCTGCAGTTTCGGCATTTCTTCTTCAAGTCGATAAGTATCTATTGCTTTTCTGCAGATTCCGCACTTCTGCATTTTCCGCATTTCTGCATTTCTTCACGAACGCAAGCTATGAACGCGGCCTTACAGCTTGGCAGCAGTTTTGGGAGAAAAGCCGCGGGAAAGTAACAGAAAGTTAATTCAGGAATGTGATGGGATCGAGATTGTTAAATAGAAGAGGTTTTGGGGGAGGTCATACTTTGCAGAAACTTTCCTCCACGGCGGCAAGACGTCCCCCAGGTGCGGCACAACTACTTTCTAGTGGTTGATCGAAGGTGTCAACCCTCCCCCCCCCCCTCAACGGTAACCTTTTCAAAAAAGCTGGTTAGAAGGAAATGAGGAAAGTAGGTTGTGAAGTGGGTCGCACCGAAACAGCAAAAATTTAGGGAGTGCCGTATCCAATCAAAATTTCACGGAATAGTGCGCTGTGTGCGCTCCAATGACACTCCCTGACCGATTTCCGATTTGATCCTATTAGTCAACCTTTTAAAGTACATTTACTTTTCAAAGTTTCCTTATTTTCACATTTATTGTAAGCAAATAGTAATAGCTAACATTGTCGGTGACATTTCATGTTTATTCACAGAAGCTATTCCCTGAGTGGCTAGCTTGGGAATAATAGTGAATCACTCGAAATGGAAGAGCGATCCAGGCGATACCTGCCTTCATTTTGGCATGATGATTTGGCTATGCAAGGATATATGAGTGTGATCAAGGTAAATTATTTGATTAAGATATTCACCCGCATCGAAAAAATAGCGAGCAAAAACCCTGCGTTCATACTTTGCGACCCGAGTCGGGATTCCTCTAAAGTGAATAGATACGCATTGATTAGACCCCTGCGCTGGTAAATAAAGAATCGCGATAAATCAATACGTATAACTTTTTCGCGAACTCTACTTCGATTCCGCGGTTCTCCGGTTCGCTGCAGTGTAGGAGAGCGGCTTAAGAACGAGTTCACAGTTCGCGATCCGAACGCTTCGATCGCGCGATCGTTTTGCAAGGGTGAACGCACTCTAAGAGGAAGTGGAGATAGTGAGGATTCCCTTTTTCATACTGACCTCGAGAGAGCTTAAACCGCAGTTTTTGAGCGCTAATAACCTTGGGTGGGGGAGGGTCATCGAAAGGACTGCCCAGGTCTGGGATTACCCCAATAAGATGGCATCACTCCTTCCAAGGGCTCTTTACACTTTGGGCTTGGCTGAAGTCTTCGTCACTGTTGCAGTAATCCCAATTACGCAGAAAAAGTCACATAAACTGCCCTCACTTGCCCCTTCCACTCCCTGAGGCAATTATCGCTTCTTTTTGCTCTCTGGCCAATAAGAATGAGGAACTCAAGAATGTCGAGGGAGTGGAACATTTTTCAGTACCGGTGTCAGGTCCTTATGTCTCAGTTTAGTATCTTCTGTCCCAAAGAAACATCATTTTCAGGCTCGAGCTATAAATCCGATCGACCACGATCGAAAGATAAAGTTTTGGACCGACCTGATATCATCATCCTGCGAGGTTGAAGGGAATGCCATCATAAGTGTAGATTCTTTGAAGAAGCGATTTCGACGAGGCGATCAGGTGCCGTCGAGTCTCAATGTGGTGGTGGAGCATCTGAGCAAGTAGGTTTCAGATTGCCAAAACGAGTAAATGGCCCAGAATGGTTAGGCATATTTTTGTTCTTTTTGCAATACCGTTTTGACAAGCCATATGTTCTTTCGTATCAGCTCTCCCCTTTCATAAGCGTCCCTGAAGGCCGTTTCTGTGATGAGCGGAAGGATTGGGGAATCCTCGAAAGATTCAGAAACGAATAGACTTCTCCATTCCTCTCCTTGAACGGGGTCACTAAGATCGATTCGTTTCTAAACTTTTGACGGGTTCTCCGAATAAGCGACTCTCCTGTTCTACGTCTGCAGTTCAGTGGTTCTGCAGGTCTCCCAAAACTGCCCCGGGTCGAGCCAATTGGACAACTTCACGTTTTCTCCGTTTCTTCGATCGATTAATACTTCCATTCTCCGGGTCGTTGTGTACATATTCCTTGTTTCGGATCGGATTCTCCGGGTCTTCGAAACCATTTCATATGTCTCTGCACAAAGGCTATGCTTATACCTAAAGCCAATTTACAGCAGTGTACGCCCTGCTTTTTCTGGAAAAATTCCTCGAAACACGACCGTCCTCACAAAATTTCCTCCTTTTGTACAACTGCCATTTCGTCACCCCGCCCCATATTACTTACCGATTACTTACCGCCTTAAGTGTCCCGAAATTCTTCCAACTTCCTACACTTTTTCTATCCCAAAAAAATGCCGTCACCAGAAACACTTTTCGCAAAGGCAAATACGACCCCGCTTCTTTGAAATTTCGGATTCCCACCGAGCTGAGGCTCAAGCGCAGCCCTAGAGAACTGTCGGCGAAAAAGAGTTGTTGATTATAAACTCCAAACTACCACACTATGCTTCAATATATATGTTTAGATATGGTGTATTGATGCCTCTATCTAAATGGCAAGAGCAGCATACCTCATGGATGGGTTGGGGTTTTTCACAGTTGAGTAAGACGTCCGGATGGCTCTTTGGAACTGCGAAGTCTGCCACATCCGAACGCTTTATTCATCTGCCAACGATCAAGGTGAAACTCTTGATATCTAGCTAGTGCCGCTGCACAAGTCATCTTTTCACAATATTGTTTTCAGGTGCAAGCAGACAAACTTATGAATTTGTACAGTAACGAGTTCCAGTCTGAAATCGATGGAACGGGTAGTATCGTAGCTTACTCCACCTTCTATGACAGAGCTGCTAATATTGTCCGTACAAAGGTATTTTTCAAGAACTTTTCGAGATGCAGCGTGTTGAGAGAAATCGCGGTGCCTGATGACCCTTTCCTCAAAATTCTTTAACCGGTACGTCCCCCTTTCCCTTCCCCAATTATACTCACAGTGTTTCTATTTTTTCCTGGTCTCTTCCAGTTTTCAAAGGTCTCTTAATGGTTTTATCCAAAGTTTTACCATCTACCGGTGGGTCGGCAATAAACGAAAAAATCTCTGTCAAGACCGAGATACGATCACCTCAGCGCGAACAGATGCGGTCCCCTGATGGGATTTCCCCAGTGTGTAAATTTGAAGTTGGAGATATGCCTGATGCTGTTGTAGCTTTGTTAAGGAGAATTTCGACATTGTTCTGGCTCATCTCTCTGATCGAGGTGACGTTACTGTTGGACAGGGACGTAACGGCGAGCAGATTTTGAAGTTTAGGGTAAGGATTTTAAGTTATTCATGAGTTTTGTTCTGGAGAATGATCTGCAGGGCTGTCTCCGCTAGATTTGTTCATCGGCTGTGGCTGTTTTGAACAATTGTCAAATTTTGTAAAAAATGGGGAAGAATTCTCAATGTAATCAACTCGTTCAATTCTTATTTTATATTTGCAAGTATTGTTTGTGGCTACAGTTCGCGCTCCGAAAGTTATTGCAAAGTTGTTCAGTTGGACCGCGTCCATACTTTGCGGCTTGAGAAGGTTTAACGAGACTGGGACTCCACGATTCCAGAGAGAGGAAAGCATAGATATCGATCTAACCACTGGGGTGAATCGGCGATCCCGCGTTGAAGCGACTCGTGTTTCGTCGTTTCAAGAGATTCAGCGACCACGCGCCGGATCACTATTTATCCACCCCTTGAACGCGCAATCGCGCGAAACGTCGACCCGCTCAGAACGCCAGATCGCATCTCCGCTTCTTCCCCTATCGCCAGATCGATATCTCTATTTTCCGCACCGAATCGCTGAATCTTCTCATTCAAACAGGATGGGCAAAGCCTTATAGGCTAAAAGGCTTGAACCCGGCTAGGACTTTGACCAGCTACAAATGAGCGTCATACATACTAACACATTTCGGATAACTTCCAGATCATTCTATTTTGCATGCTCGAATGACACCGTTTTCTGTAATTGGAGTAGAATCCTCAGTAATTGTTATTAGAACGTTCCAACTTGTATGTCTCTCTCTCTCTCTCCCGTCGCTTACAGTACTTCATTTGTGCAGGACACAACGAGCGAAGAGCCAGTTCGATTCACTGAAGCCGATGCGAGCGTACATGACATTCGGAAAGCCATGTCAAAAATCGAAAATGAAATAGGTGTTTTGGAGCGAAAAGTTGAAAAGTAAGTATTACGAAGTCTGATTATTGTTTTTCGTTGCCGAAGGTTTTTTGCGAATTCTGGCTTGGTGGAGAGGGGGAGTGGGTTGAATGGTGCTCAGGGGATTGTACAGGCAACCTTGTGAAAACCTACAAATTCCTGTGACTGAAGTGGCTCACTAGAATAGTTTCGCAGCTTCACAGGAGTATGCAGGTCCGACCGAAGTGCTAGATACTAGCGACAGCGCAAAAATACCTCCTTTAAGCCGAACAGTAACTTTTCTATCCTGCTTTAGACTGGATGGCGACTGTCGGGCTGCTTTGCGAAATAGGGATAAGATGAGAGCAGCGAATCTTCTCCGTCAAAAGAAACGATTCCAGAAAGATATTTCCGATAAAGACGTTCAGTACCAGCGGTTGTTGAGCATGTTGCAACAGCTAAGTGCTACGAAGGTAATTTCGCGATTGTGGCTCATAATTATACTAATATTCCCGTCAATTTCTGAATTTGGCCCGCAGCCCACAACAAAAGAGATCATAGACGCGTATAAAGCAGGAACAGCAGCTTTCAAAGCCAATCTGGCTCGACATGGAATGACGGCCGAAAAAGTAAGTAGACCAAGACTTGCGCTTTCTTCGGTGTACTACCGGGTTGCGTTTCTAATTTTGCGTTAGCTCTTGGGACGCGTTCCTACCTCGCGATTAGATCGCTTGGAACGTGCGATCGGATCCTCGAGCAATTATTCGCGCCGCACCGGCGGTGCTGCAGGCTGACAATGGCGGACAGCCAGGCATCCAGCAAAAGCTCAAATTGGGGCGCTTCAAGACGGATCGACCGTCGCGAGCTTTGGCAGTTGTGAATCGTCCGCGATCGTGGGGTCGCGGCGACCCAGGATCGAAGCGCGCAGTGTGAACGTGCTCTCACAGTAGGAACTTTTCATCTCGATTCTCTTCACCTTTTTCTAAAGGTTTTTAGGAATCGATTTCCTTGTTACAGATTGATGAAACTATGGATGAGGTTGCTAGCGCGATGGACGATTATCGCGAAATTGAAGATGCTATCGGCCAAGCAATAGTACCAAAGCTACATGATGATGATGATCTGGAGAAGGAGCTTGATGAGCTGATAGCTAAACAAAAAGTATGTCTTCTTTCAGTTCCTGAAATGTTGTGCTAATCAAGAAAATAGTGCGAATTTCTTTTTTTTCCAGCCTGTTCCTTCATTGCCCAGTGTTTCGCCAGAAAAACTTGTTCCTTCACTTCCGGAAGTCCCGTCGAACCACATTTGGCTATCGTGGAGCTTGATGAATGAATGACGATGAACCTTGAGAAGCGGCTCCAACGACTGCGATCAGCTATGTGATGTACTATGTGGTCACCGGGATATTACATGAGTCACAGCGCTTCGTGACAAATGATCGGCGTTCATTTTCAAGATCTCGCGTTGTGTTGTGCTGTGCTGAACTTGTGCCCGGTAGAGAAATGCCATGTATGACTTAATGAACAAAATATTCCATGGGTTCCTTTCAAAAATTGTATTTGAACAATAACGGTTATGAGCCAAAGCGCTGAAGCAGCGCGTGAATTTTCAGCAGGCGGTCGCGGAGCGTCAGTTTCATGATTTGGCCGTAGATATGGCGGTTTTGATTAGGAATGCTATTTTTATACGCGGCGACTACTGACTTGCACCTGAGGCAATATTCAAGCTGTAGGATGTTCACTTTTAGCGCCTGAAAAACGGTTTCAGCGAGTCAGCAGTTATGATCTCACCCAGTACGGTCAGATCCTTTAGCGGCTTCTGTTGACGCGTGCTGAATATTCAGTGTTGCGCTGGCGATAAAGACAATACCAGTAGCTGTATAACTGTATAATACTCCAACAAAATCGCTAATAAAATCATTGTTCCCCTCTTCATGTTACACCTTTCGTGTAGTAAATTTCTGGTTCGGAAGAGCCGGGTGATGTACGCGGCATTCGCACCAGACAGGGTACATACAGCATCGTGATGTGTGAAATGGTAGTGTAGGTACGACCCTCCCCCTTCCGAGAGAGGGTGTCAGTACGACCCCTCCTCCACCTGAATGAGGGTCTCGGTACGACCCCCCTCCCCCTTCCCCAACACCTACCTACCAATTTCCCACATTTTTCAGTTTTTCACCCAAACACCTCGAAAACTTTCCGTCGAGCAGGGGGAGGGGTATAGTGTACATGAAACAGGAAAAATCACGAAAAGTCAACAACCGGGAGCAACGCAGAAAATTTCTCCTAAACGCACATACGAATCCCCCCCCCCCTCCCCAGTGGGAAAGTAAGCCCCCCCCCTATGTGCCTCACACAACGATGCTGTACCCTGGCACCAGAATCCAATCGACTCAACATGTCAGCGGTGCTGCACGTCGACACTTTTCTCGAGTCATACTACGATGCCGCTGGGAGGTAGTGCTCCACACCCGTTTGAGAGAGAGTACAGAAGAGGAGGGGACTGCCCTAGGGGTGAAAAACATCGTGTACCGTAATATTTTTCTCTCAAAACACTAGCGGACGGCGCCGACCGATACCCCACTTGTAGCTGTGTTCCAGTCCGTCACTAGAGCTATCGCGATGGTAGCGCGTCGACGCGCGTCATCGCCAAATCTGAACGCTGTCTCAAGGTGCGGTCGTGTCTGACGTCAGCGGTCGTCGTGCTTTCAGCTGTCTCAGAGCTGCAGAACAACTCTTCAGAAGTGAGTGCTAACGAGACTGCCCATAGTTACAGGAGATTGAGAGCTAAAGTCTAAC